TTTTTTTTTTAATTTTTTTCCCTCCCTTGTAAATCGATTGGTAGATAGATCGAGTATATAGATTAAAAGAACAAAGTAGTATAAGTAAGCAGAGATGGCTGTTTCTGATAACTCGAGGGGGTTAATATTGGCTATGCTCTCGAGTTTGTTCATCGGAACAAGCTTTATCTTGAAGAAGAAGGGTCTCCGGCGGGCTGCGGCAGCTGGTACTCGGGCAGGTATATTAGATTCTCAGTTGATCTCTGTGGATGTTCATTTTTAACTTATAAAGTTGGGTTCTTGCTAGATTTGCCACTTTTTCGAGTAAAGAAATCCGTGGGTAGATTGATTTTACTTGGATTTGTTAGTTTTTTGATTAATTGTTGTCCCACATCGGATGTATACCAAAGATGTGTAGGATCTTATTAGTATAAATAGGTCCCTTGCCTTTGGGTTACAATTGCACCTTATTCTATTCTCTCCTATTTAGAAGGAAATCCTTAATTAAGGAAATCCTATTTTGTGGGTTATTTAACCCTAGTTGTATTTTGTTGGTGAGTTTAGTAAATTTGGCGTTGCGGTTGGCGGTGCCCGGAGACGTAGGCTATTTTCGCCGAACTCCGTTATCAATTTTTGTGTTCTTTTTATTTCTCGTCTTTTATTTGTGTTGGCTTATTTTGGAGTAGTACTTGCCATATTTGTTGGAGGGGTATTTTTGTCCGCTGCGCTTGTTGTGATACCCCAACAGGATTGGTATATAATGTTTGAGGGGGTCGTTTGGAACTGAAGTGATATTCTTGGTTTAGGGATTTGGTGGCGGCTTACTGTCTGATATGTTTAAATTAGTGCTTAGTGATTTTTGTTCGTCTTTGCTAAGTATGTCGGCTAAGGTGCTTTGCGAATTGTTGCAGAAGTAAAGTCACAGGAATCTGTTTCTGAATGCTTCTTGATGCATTTCATTTTCTAATTCATACCTTTTCTGTTACATTACATCGAAGTTCGAACCCATGTTCCCCACAAAACCTTCCACCGATTACACTCAAACATGAAACGAGCATATGTTGTTCTTTGCTAATAAATTCAAGTATTCGTTGTCTTAGTCGAAGAGTATTTGGTTTGATTAGCTTATGCTGCGCCTAATCTCGTCACAGTTTTCTATTGCAGGAGTTGGAGGCTACACTTACTTATTAGAGCCTCTTTGGTGGGCCGGCATGATTACAAGTGAGTTATGCTTATTCACTTCCTTTTCTCCCTTGTTATTATCACGAATCGTCACATGCTAAATTTTAGTAAAATTCCTCATTTGTCCTTCTGGGCAGTGATTGTTGGTGAGGTGGCGAACTTTGTAGCTTACATATTTGCTCCAGCTGTTCTTGTGACCCCTCTTGGTGCATTGAGTATCATAGTTAGGTACTTTCTCAGCCTTTTTTTATCCAGCTTTTGTCAGAGATATAATGAAATTTATTTTGTTAGAACATCTCCATGATCGATATCTTTCTTACACTAACATTTTTGTTAAACTGAATCTTGAAAAGTGCTGTTTTGGCGCACTTTCTGTTGAAAGAACGCTTGAGGAAAATGGGCGTATTGGGATGTGTTTCTTGCATAGTGGGATCTGTAATTATTGTTATTCATGCTCCTCAAGAACATATTCCGAGTTCCGTACAAGAAGTATGGAGTTTAGCAACTCAACCAGGTTTCATCACTATTTTTCTCCCTCTTTCCACAACTAGGGCTGCAAACGAGCCGAGCCGAGTCAAAGCATTGGCTTTATCGAGCAAGATTGATTTTTTTATTTACCTGCTTGGAGCTCGTAGAGCTCGATTTATGACGCTCGAGATCGACTCCACAAAAGAAGACAATTGCTCGAGCTCGAGCTCGAGATCGATTGAAATCAAAATGCTCGAAAGGTTGCTAGAGCTCGGCTCGAGTTCAACTCAACAAAAGAAGACAATTGCTCGAGCTTGACTCGTGATCGATTGAAAACAAAATGCTCGAAAGATTGCTCGAGCTCGGCTCGAGTTCGACTCGAGTTTCAAGTAAAATTACCATTAAGTACATACACAAAATATTTTAATATTTATATATAAGGGGTATTTTTAGTAATTCACTATATATCTTGAGTCGCTCGACCTTTCAAAATTTATGCTCGAGCTCGACTCGAGTTCGGCCAAACTTGAACTCGAGCCGCTCGGTTTGTTTGCAGCCCTATGCATGACACTTGTGTGTTCTCAAACTATTTTCCATTTCCAAAAGTGTTGCTGATGGTGCAATTGATTTTTGTCTACAGCATTTCTTGTTTATGTGACGGCTAATTTATCCATCGTGCTAGTTCTAATGCTTCATCTCGAGCCTCTCTAT